TGCTAGGTTGTGTTCACTGTATTGTTTGCTTTCCTTTATATAACTCTGCATGTGAACTGGCCTTGTGGCCCTTTGCTTGTGCTCAGACTGCGTGGTGACTTTGTGATCCACCCTGAGCTTGCTTTGCCTTCTTGACTGGTCTTGTGACCCCTTGTTCTCCCCCACTTTGCCTATGGGGGTGTGTCAAACTTATATATGCTATAGTCTGTTTAGGCTGTAGTGGGGTAGTTCTTATAGGGTACAACACTTTTAGGTTTCTTACTTGTACCCAACTGCTTCCGGACAAATCAGACCATGGAACAGTTAATCCGAGCCACGTGCGACGACCCCACCACCTGGGAACAGCAACTGCCACTAATCGAATTCGCGTACAACAACTCGCCATCCGCCACGACCCAACAGTCACCGTTTTACCTGAACTACGGGCAAGACCCTACAGTACCCATGACCCCGAATCCCGACAACCCGGTGCCACGAGCGCAACAATTCGCAGAAATCCTACAGGAAGCACGGACCAGGGCAGCAGACACAATAAAAAAAGCGAACGTTATCGCTAAGTGCAACGCCGACCGCCACCGCAGACCCGTCACTTACCAACCCGACGACTTAGTTCTACTCGACACCCGAAACCTCCGCCTGCCCATAACTCCAAAACTCCGCCCCCGATATTGTGGGCCATTTCGCATCAGCCACATGATCACACCGGTCACAGCCCACCTCCTCCTCCCCGCTGACTGGTACGTCAGCCCCTCCTTCCACGTCAGCCTGCTTCGCCCCTACATCCCATCCACCAGCCAACTGGCCCGACATCGCCCAGCCAGCATGACCCAACCACCGACCGAGCCAGTCATCACGCCCGAAAAGATTCTGAGCCACCGAGTTCGTGACCCACGAGGAGCCCGAAGGGTCGAATTTCTAATACGCTGGCGAGACTGCACGCCCACCGAGGACAACTGGGTTCCACTGGACAAAATCGAAAACCACCCCGTCCTCAACGAGTACTTGCGCAGCAGAAATTTCCGGGATATACACGCACTCTCGTAAGGGAGGCCTCCTTGAGGGGGGGGGGGGGGGGGGGGGTAGTGTAAGGAAAATCATTTTTCCTTACTTCTCATCCCTGCTCAGCGCGTACACCACTGCTCCCGCCAACAGCACCCCACAACATTCCGTTACCACTCGCGACATTCGCCTCGACATCATTCCCGCCACTGTTCACGATGCGACCCAACCTCACGGTTCGGTCGGTAACCCGCGCTCCGGACCTCCGCCTCGACGGTTCCCCAAACCTCGGCACCAGGCCCGTCGCGCACCCCAATTTCCCACGTTACCGTTACCACCGTAGTTTTCGCTAAATATTCTTCGCTCACTCCTTCGCTCATTGTATTCTTGTCTCGATAGTGCAATCCTCGCTCGCTCACTCAATTGCACTCGTAACATCCAGTGACTTCAATGTACAGTTCTGTTTTTCAAATAGAACTTTAGTAAGACAGAAAAGTACACTAAGACAGAATCAGCTCACTAAATTTAGATTGTTAGACAGAAAGACATGCAAGTGTTAGTCTCCAATATTGACCCTACGGCTCATATACCTGGTTCATTCAGTCATGCGGCTTCCTCGACGTATATTAGCCGCATATCGACAGCTTTGTGCCAGATCAACGATCTCTTCTGAATCTGTTGTAGCTTCCATTGCAGCCACAGCAATACGAACCTCCTCGTTAAACCGACTGATCACTGAGGCTACTTGTGTCCGAAGCTCGTGAAGGTCTGCCGAACCTGATGACAAGGTGTCATTGGTGTGAAGCAAAGAGGTGCTCCGGGTGCTGCCGCTGCTGGCTCTTGCCGTGCGTGCGGCAGCAAGCTTCCTGTGAAGTGGAAGAGGAAGAGAGCACACGGAGGCAAATGCTCAGTGTCCATAAGTGTGTGCAACTTGGCAGCTCAATCAATCCTGCCAGTTTCCCAGATGGCTGTACCAGACCTCACACCTGGCACTGAACTAACCTGGCAAACACGCTGTCAGTGTGCTTCTGCAGGCGGGTGGCGAGGTGGGAGAGCTCGAGCACGAGGCGACAGATGCAAAACACGCTTTTGAGAACTCACAAACGTGACTCCAACATACCCGGAGAGCACACTGCACCCACCTCGCGAACACACTATCGGTGTGCTTCTGCAGGTGGGCAGCAAGGTGAGAGAGCTCGAGCACGAGGCGGCAGATGCGGCGCACGCTGCCCAGGAGGGCGGCTGAGGGGTGGTCAAGGAAGAGCGCCCTCAGCAGTGCCTGCTGGTAGCGCTCGTGGCAGGCAATCAGCTCGTCCAGATTCGTTGCACTCTGAAGGGACAGGCGACGACAGGCAGAGAGTGGGTGGCGGAGAAGAGAAAGGAGGTCGTGTGTGCAATCAGATCTGGACTTGCTGCATTCTGGAAGGACAGGTGGGGAATGAGGGATGAGGGGAGGTACAGCATGCAGAATCACAAGGACACAGAGACGCCAAGTTTGGCATCAGAATTGCAAGGAGACAGCGATGTCAGGCAGGGCATCAGAATCCCAAAAAGCATCCACCAGCATGCATGGCTCACCTTGGCCCCTTCCACCATCTCCTTCCAGCTGGTTTCGATCCTAAGAGCAGCAAACGTCTCAATCACGCGCATGAACTGTGACATGCGTGCAAACACGCCCCGCACGCCCCTCACTGGCCCCACCAGTAGCTTCTCCTCCTCCCTCTCCTTCCATGCCTGCAACCCCCCTGACACTCTCGCACCCCCTTCACCACCACCACCACCACCTTCCAGACTCCCCCCACCAGCACCAACCGCAGCAGCAGTACCAGCACCAGCAGCAGCGCCCTCTCCCATTCCTCCCATGTCTGGTTTTCTAGCTTTGCTGCTCGCTCCAGCTGCCCGGGAACCCAAACCTCCAGCGAACCTGCCCGTAACCGCAGCAGTAATGGACTCCCTGACAACGGGCGGCAGAAGCCTGGAGGCTCGGGGCTTGAGGGCGAGCCATGTGGAGGAGAGGGCGCGGCGGGTGCGCTGCAGCAGGAAGAGTGCGGTGAAGAGGCGTGCGTAGTGGTGCTGTGCGGTTGTGGTGATGACTGCGGTGAGAGGCGGTAGAATGCGGTACTCCAAGGTGAACACGTCCCAGCCAGATATGCCAGGGGTACTGAGAGTAAGGGGGAAAGGAGGGCGGTTGGGTTGGGGATGGAGAGAAGGAGAGAAGGGAGAGGAGAAAGAGCGGGAGGAGGGTTGGTGGGAGAATGTTGGGAGGAGGAAGACAGTGAAAGGTCAACCGGTAAGGTGATGAAACCATTGATCCCTTTCAGTGAGGCCATGCACGTACAGAAAGGCTTTGAAAGGCTCGACTTGCTTACCTGTCATTGACCAGCTTGACTTGCAGCGCATCCGCCAGAGCTGGTTCCTCCCCTGAGAATAACGATGCCAGCACCGCTCCGTGGAGGGCGCCTGGGGGGGCATCGAAGGCATGGAAGGAGGGGATAAAGGACCGGGTAAGCGGTTCATCAAGTGGGGGTTGGAGGCTGACTTTTGAGAGTGGGGATGACTTTTAAGAGCATGAATAGTGAGAGAAGACAGGAGGGAATGGAGTGAAGAGAAGCAGAGTTGAGCGTAAGAGAATGATCGGGATGTGATGAGTGAATCATAAGGCAGGCACGTGGATGCACCTGAGAGGGCGATGGTGCTGACTTTGTTGACCGGCTTCTTGAGCTCACTGGACGCCTCATCTAGCAGCACCTGGCACGGCAGCGAGAGAGCACAGGAGCTTCCTCTGAGCAACAACAACAGAACTACTACTGAGTCGAACTCTGTTTAGGATGGATGCTACTGAGTTGACCCAAACAGGAAGGAGCACTGCCTAAGAGCATCTGGTTAAAGGTCTGAGGATCAGACTACAGGGTTGTGGTTCATGTTTCGTGTTGGTGCAGCTTTCCTCACAGTCGTGAGTGAAGTGACTGCATTAGTCAAGGGCGAGACTCAAGAGCAGGACTGACCTGAGCCAAGTGGCCGTTAGTGAGGAGAATGAAGCGCTTGATGAGAGCGCAGTGGTGCAGCAGATTGAACTGCCCCACCACCACCTGCACCAGCCGCGTCTCCACCTGTGCTGACACCCTCTCCACCAGCCTCGGCACGTCCCGGAGCTCCAGCGAGGCTCGGGCGCCCCGAACCTCCCGCTCCACCTGCTTCGCTGCTTCGGGCCCGAGCCTGTCGCCGCAGCAATGGGCGAGAAAGCGGATGGACTTGCCAACGCGGAGTATGGTGCGTGCTAGGGAGAGAGGGATGAGGCGCACAGGGACCATTGCCTCGTCCATCCTGGGATGAGGGTTTTGAGGGATGGGGCGGGGAAGGGAGAGACAAAGTGAATGAACTTGCCAAAGCAGCCGATGGTGTGTGCTAGGTCGAGCGGGATGAGGCGCACAGGGACCATTGCCTCGTCCATCCTGTGGTGAAGTGATCAGGGAATGTGGAGAGTGTGGAAGGAACGGAGAGCAGGAAGTGGGGAAGAGGGAGAGGAAAGGAATGGAAGAGCAGAAGAAAAGAGCCCTCTTCAAGCACAGCCGCACTCTCGGCTCTGCACCCCTTTTTTTCCATGCCCCTCACCCAAATTCTTTGGAATCTAACGCCCGCCCTCACCAGAAGCCCTCCTGCCAGAGCACGTCCTTGCTGGCCGCCACCGCACTGCACCGCACAAAGAACTCCTCGTTGCGGGCATCCACGTTCCCCAGCACAGCCCACTCCGCCACACCCTGCACCAGCGGCCGCACCGCCTCTCCCAGCGCCCCGCCCAACTGCTCGCGCTCGTTGCCCTGGGCTGCTCTCTTCCTCGCCTCCAATGCGTCCAAGAAGGGGCCGCCATGCAAAGATCTGAGAGGCATGTCGGGGTTTGGGAGTTGGGAGATGGGTGCAAAGAACCTGACGAGGAACTCGAAGCGCAAAGTGGGTTCTTGATATCCACCTCCCAGCACCTTCCAGCACCTCCCAGCACCTACCAACATCCATGCGTACCCGTGCCTGTACCCACAGACCTGCACTCATCAATGAAGCTGACGAGGCACTCCAAGCGCACGAACCACGGCGAAAGGAACGCCAGCAGGTGTCTTAGCCGCAGATACTCCCCGCGCTGCTCCTGCCTCCCCCTGCCCGCTTCCCTATGCCCCCCATGCCCCACACGCCCAGCCGCATCCCCCGCAGCGAGCCCCCCCTCTCTTAGCCCCGGTGCTGCTCCTCCTGACTCGTCTCTCCCCGCTGAGCGCGCTTCTGAAACCCCAGTCCGTAACGCCACACTCTCGCTCTCCGCGCCCTTCCTCTCCTCCTCTCCCCTCCCCTCCTGCCGCCACCGCTGCTGCTGCTGCTGCCGCTCCTGCCCTTCCCTGCGGGCAGAACCCCCTGCTGCGGGGAGAAGGGAGCTGGCGGATAGTGGCGCAGGCGGAAGAGCGGCGAGCAAGGGGGAGTGGCGGTGGACGTCCAGACACGCCAGCACGTCGCGGAACTGGCTTAGCGCCGTGCTGAGGGCGACGCAGAACGCCTGGCGGGAAAAAAGGTGGGGGAGGGGGGAGAGTATGGGAGCGGGAAGGCGGGGGAAGACGAGGAGAAAAGCGAGGGAAGAGAGTGAGTGGAGGGAGTCTACAACCGCATCCAAATCCCCTTTACACTCCTTCTTTCCCCGTCCAATCCCTCGGCTACTTTTTCTCCCGGCTCCTCTTCCCTTCACTCATCATTCACTTGCACTAACCCACACCTCCCCGCATCCTCGTCCGTCAACTCGCCAGTCAACTCGTCCGTCAACTTGCCTGTCAACTAGCCCGTTCACCCACCATCTGATTCTTGCTCTTCAGCCCCTCCGCTGCTCCCTCCTCGTTCCACACGCCCCTCTCCGCGAGCCTCCCCCTTCCCTCCTGCACCATCGTCCGGTGCCCTCGTCCCGTTCCTTCTTCCTTCACAGTTACTCTCTCCGCCCGTCCCGTTCTCTCTTCTTTCACCGCCACTCGTTCCGCGCGACCCGCTCCGTGCTGCAATCCCCGGCTACCAGCGCTGCTTATTCTGCCCGAATTGGCTGACGCGACTTCCTGAATGTAGGCTTGAATTTGCCGAACCATCACTCCGAGCCTGCTTAGTTGCATAGACTCAGCCCTGGGAGTAGCGCAGAGGAAAATGGGTGGACATAGGGGTCCGCGAGCGAGCTGAAGGACAAGGAGATTGAGCAACGAAGGAAGTGAGCGAAGAGGATAGCGAACGACGAGGGAATTGATCGAATGAGGAGGACGATGAGGCTCAACGTGAATCGTGCTACCAGAACGTCCTAGTAGGATACTGAACTAATTCCCGTACCAGAATCCTCTGTTGACTGCTGATGTTTCACTTCCTGAAGCTGCCAGGAACCTGCATACTTACATGCGTATCTGCTGTATTCTCGTGCCCGGGACGAATCGCACGGATCGCGAGTCATCGTCGAACTTGAGGTAACGACCGTCGATTCCTTCGCACAGGATGAGAACGTCGCGAACGAGATCGGATTCCTGCACCACCTCGTCGCCGTGCGACGCTGCGACGTCGTTATCTCCCGAAGATCGTTCGGTATCGGTTGTCGCATGTTTCCCTCGCGAATCCTGACGATCTCCGGCGACGCGTGCGACAGCCGCGTCAGTCGCAGGCGACCAATCTAACGGTTCTTGCTTCACATTGCCACTGTTACCAGATCCTAAAACGTAACTCCCTATTCCCGGCCTAGTGCTACTCTGGGGGGTAGACGAACCTAATGCGCCTAACCTATGACGAGTATTGCTTGAGGATGCACCAGGACCGGGATTCGAGGGCGTATGGCGAAATCCAGAAACGAGATCGAAGTCTACTTGGGAATCTGCGAAATTCCCGCCGCGTCCAGGCGTCACATTCTTCGGCAAACCATCCATGTTTCTAAGAACCTACATAGAAACAATGAAGTTAACGTGGTTACAGTCAGAGCCTAAAACAATAAAGCTCAGACTCGAAAGTTAGAAATTAGACGACGGATCAGAAATCACAGACGGAGGAGTAAGACCGTTCCGTTCCGTTCTCACTGAGTGAGACCATGGATCCTGCTCCGTTCCGTCACTCCGTCATATTTTAGCTAAAAAGGAATCGCCGCTTCGGCTTCCACCTTCACCTGCACAACTTTTCCTCAGAGATTCGGCTCCTGTTTGGTCTGCCTCGAGATCAGCATGGCGTTTCCCGCGCGTGGCTCGTGAGTCGTGACTCATCAGGAGAATTGCCTGGCAATGTCGAGGAAATCTTATAAATTGTTTGATGAAGCTGGTACTAGATGGAACATACAGAAGACCTTGTATCATGGACTACGTTTTATGCTAATGTAATGAAATCCAAGGTTACCTGATGCTGACAATAGAGTGGGTCAGTAATAACAAGGGGTCAAGCTAAAGCATAGAAAAAAAAATACTGATCAAACAGGAGGGAGAAGACTGCACACTATAATGTGCGAGTATTTTTCTTCCAGGCAGCGAGTTTTGGGTCTTCCTTCTGCTTTTGTCTGAAAAAACCCAGAAGCCCTCCAAGCTTCTTGGGCCCTCCATGTGATTCCTCAACAATATCGTGCAGATTCAGATAATCCATCAGACCCTGCAGCACAGGATAAGGGGGGTAGAGAGAAGAAAAAACAGGTCAAACAAAACAAATATTCAGACTTCAAGTCGCGTATGTATGGAATACAAGGGGAGGGAGTGGGGACACAACCCCCAGAAACCTCCCCAAAAAGGCACCAGAACCACAACTTTAATACCCGCACTCATACCCCATTCAACCCAGCCCAACCCCCTCACCTGCAGGCCTGAGTTAACCACATCCATGGGCGGGTGCTGCCATGGGTTCCCCTGCAGCGACAGCTTCTTCAGACTCGTCAGGTTCACAAACGACACCGGCAGAATCTTTATATAATTCTCGCTGATATCCAGCTTCACCAGGCTCCTCAGGTTCCCGAGCGTCTCCGGAAGCTCCTTCAGGTGGTAGTGGTTCGCACTGATGTTGAGCGACGTGAGCCTCTCCAGCCGTCCGATGCTCTCGGGGATCGACTGCAGCGAGTTGTAATGCACATCCAGATCCGTCAGCTTCTCCAAATTCCCAATCCGCCGCGGAACATACGTCAGCTGGTTCAGCGGCGCAGACAGCAGCTTCAGCTCCGACAGTTTACAGATCGCTTCTGGAAGCCCGGTAAGGGAGTTGAACCCGAGCCTGAGCTCCTCTAACGCCTCGCAGTGGCCGATGGACGTGGGCAGCTCTTCCAGGTAGTTGTGGTGCAGATCCAGCACCCGGAGTTTCGCCAGATGCCCGATAGACTCGGGCACCTCGACAAGTTTGTTGCACGAGGCGTCGAGGACCGAGAGGCAGAAAAGGTTCCCGATGGCCTGCGGGAGGACCACTAGGCCGTTGTTCGCCAGGCGAAGCTCCACGATCCAGTCTAGAAGGGCGACGGACTCGGGGAGGTACGCGAGGGGGGCTTTAAAGTGGTGGCCCTGCAGGTCGAGCTCCTGGCGGCGGTCCTGCGCTGCTTCCTCCAGCACGGTCAGCAGCTTGGGGTCGATCTCCAGCCCGGCTGATGCCTCTTCTATGGGCTTCAGTGATGCTGCAGGGAGGACGGGGAGGTGCAGATTGGGAAGGGGAGAGGAGGGTAGGGACGTGTGAGCTCAGGAGGTCCGTCTCCTGGCGGCGGTCCTGCGCTGCTTCCTCCAGCACTGTCAGCAGCTTGGGGTCGATCTCCAACCCGGCTGATGCCTCTTCAATGGGCTTCAGGGACGCTGCAGGGAGGCGGGGACGTGCGGATTGGGAAGGGGAGAGGAGGGTAGGGACGTGTGAGTTCAGGAGGTCCATCTCCTGGCGGCGATCCTGCGCTGCTTCCTCCAGCACCGTGAGCAGCTTGGGGTCGATCTACAGCCCGGCTGATGCCTCTTCAATGGGCTTCAGGGACGCTGCAGGGGGGATGGGGAGGTGCGGGGTTGAGAAGGAGAAGTTTAGGTAAGGACGTGCGGGCCCTTGTACGTCAGATAACGTTCGATTAGATAGGGAACGTGCGGATCAGGAAGGGGACGTGCCAAATTGAGCAGGAAAGGTGTAAGTAGGGACGTGTGTGTGTTCATTGTGTAGGGGACGTGCGGAACAGGAAGGGGACGTGCGGATCAATGCGGATCAGGTACGGGAAATGTAGGCAGGGATGTGCGAGTCGAAGGGAGTGGGAAGCATATCATTCTCGATGTATGGATGCCATACGCTTGAAGATGGAACTTAACATATTTCGACTTTTGAGGCGCCTCAAAAGTGGGTCCATGCAAGCTATTCTCAATGGATGGATGCCATACACTTGCAAATGGACCTAAAAATATTTCCCTTGAGATTGCACTTTCATACATATTTTTCCTTCACGCATTCACAAATCTCACGTGATTCTGTTTCAAGCGTTTCCTGACGCTTCGTGCCTTTCTGCTGCCCCTGAAATCTCAAACGTTTGCCTCGTCGCCTTATCCTACTCCGCCGGGCGTTATTGCATTTCGTCTCGTCCTTAACTCCCGCAATTATCCCGAACCAGCCGACTTACATTGTGGCATGCTCGCAACTTTCGACACGGCGGTAGAGTGCAATCCCTTTCCGTCCTTCCCCTTCCCGCCAGCGTTCGTTCTGGTCTCCGCAGCACCGCCCACGTCCTTTCCGAACGACACGGCACGCGCGGACGGCCCAGGGGGAGGGGAGAGGCTCCTCACGGCCCTTCGCGCCGGGGGGCTTCCAACGGTCGCCGCCGCGGGGCTCTCCGTGACGGCAGCGGCGAGCGTGGAGTCGGGGCTGGCGGAGGTGACACTAACGGACTTCGCAGCAGCGGCTTCAGCGGCAGGGGTTGAAACGGCGGTTGCTGCTCCCGCGGCTGCTGCGCCGGCTGCTGCTGCGACGACCGCTGTGGCAGCGACTGCAGTCGCAGCTGCTGCTGTTGATGCATCACCGCCATTTGCACCATCAGTTGCAGTAGAAACCGCTTCAGCTGCGTTCAACCCGCCCGTCTCCTCACCAACCGATACGCCTGATAAATTCTCGACTTCCGCAGGCTCGGCGCAAGGTTCGGCAAAAACAGGTTCGGTACCTGCCGAGGCTACGAGGCTGGGAAGTCGGCCGGTGAGCACCGCTTCTTCCGCGAGCATCACCATCTTGTCGTAGTGCCGGTACTTCGCCTCCAGATCCAACGTTGCTTGCGGCTTACGCTTCTTCATACTCGCTGCAGTTCGCATCACGTCTTGCTTAAGAGCCACCAGCTGCCTGAAAAGATACGCGTCGGCTCCGTCTGGCCGCGTCTCCGATACAAGCACTTCCATTTGCGATACAAGGTGCTTGTCAATTGCTACAATTTCCTTAGCCGCGCTTTCCACGTCTTGCAGGGTGGGTCTCTCCCCGAGGCTATCCCGCACGGCACGCATGTCTTGGACTAGGGCCAGCAAATGCGAACATTGTGCTGCAGACTCAGTGGTTGGAGTATCTGTGACTGCTGACGTGGCATCCTGCTGCACTTCTCCCGCGGAATCTACTGGTTGAATGCTAACGTCATTGGCAGACATGGTGGGTAGGGGATTGAGAGAATCGTGAGGCGGGGAGAGGTGAAGCCGGTGGTTCGCTTCAGCGAAGCTAGCCCGACGGCTGCTGTGAGGAAATTATACCTCTTTATGTCAATGGTGCATATTCTTATTGAGATCACGAAAGGGCCACGTTCATCCAGCAACGAGCTTGGGAAACGAAGGCTAGGAGCTGGAGTCACCTGGAGCACACTGTTCAGAACTGCTAACACGGAAGAATAAAAACAACTCCCTAGAAATGAAGGATCGATTTGGGTATTGGATAAAGAAACACCTCGAGGGTGAAGGGAGATTGGTCTGACGTCCAAGAAAGATCTTGGTAGGGATGCTGGGCGAACTACAGCGTTCACTTTTCAAAGTGGTAACCTCTCTTAACGAATATAGGACTCCGAAGTTCTGTTCTAATCAGCTCCTCACAAAAGACGTGCGCGGCTGGTCCACGTGGCTAGTGGCATTTTTTGCGCAACGCTTCTGCCAAAGATGACTCTGGCGTCCCGTCCCAGCTCGCACGTGTGGCGCGCACTGATTGCACGATAAGGAAGCCTGTGCGGTGATGATGTGGCCAGTGAAAGCCTAACACCACCTGCTCGAAACAGATACACATGCTCGGGTCTTAGCCGTCGATGCCAGGTCATGTCTCAGTCGCGGAGCATCCGAGCCTTCTGTGTAGATCTACCCTTTTGCTCGTTCCGGTGCAACCCAATATGACATCAAACTAGCCTTTCCCTTGTACTGAATAATGCATGTCAATTGAAAGATAAATATAATAATAATATCAAACACAGGCCTCGATAACAATACGGTAACGGTAAAAACAAAAACAGGAGAGCGAAAAAATATTCATATATATCGTTTTCACGCGTTTAATAAGAGGCTCAATGGGCTCAATCACCAATTTCATACGGATGATTATGCACACAACTCATGTGTGAAAAGATCCGTAACTCGGTAGACTCATTGTGTTACAAACCCAAAAGGGACTTAGCCTATGATCGGCTCAGGGTTGATCGCATGTGATATTGCAGCGGAAGTAATGTCCTCAATTCATAGTGAATGTAAATGACTCAATTGATTATAAGAAGGGCATACATTGGTTCATATAGGAAACAAAAAAATACGGAATTTCCTAACTAGCTTGTACTCTAAGGTGTACATTCTCTTATTGCAGCGAGGTTCAACCGTGCAGCGCGGGGATCCGTTTCAAACATGTTCCCGCCAATTCATTTCGAATGTTTATGCTTGTATCGGTCTCGATTTGACGATGGCTTGATGTCGATTTGACTCATCAGACTCCTCGTGTTCGTACTCGGTAGAGTTGGCTTCCGTAGCGTACAGGAATGCCTTCTCATTTACTTCATATTTCAACACATTGCTTGTGCAACCCAAGCGATACAGTAAGATTGACAAGGAGGAGGAGGAGGGGGAGGAGGAGGAGGAGGAGGAGGAGGAGGAGGAGGAGGAGGAGGAGGAGGAGGAGGAGGAGGAGGAGGAGGAGGAGGAGGAGGAGGAAATGGAGGAGGAGGAGGAGGAGGATGAGAAGGAGAGAAGGAGGAGAAGGAGGAGAAGGAGGAGAAGGAGGAGAAGGAGAAGAAGAAGGCTGTATGGGAGGGCAGCAGAGAGAGAAAGGGTGGGTGGGGAATGGAGGATAGGAAGGAAAAGTTATGTCTGTTAGAATCAGGAACGGAATGAATGAACTAGAAAGCAGGTGGGTACAAGTAGGAAACCTAAAAGTGTTGTACCCTATATGAACTACCCCACTACAGCCTAGATAGACTATAGCATATAAGTTTGACACACCCCCATAGGCAAAGTGGGGGAGAACAAGAGGTCACAAGACCAGTCAAGAAAAGCAAAGCAAGCTCAGGGTGGATCACAAAGTCACCACACAGTCTGAGCACAAGCAAATGGCCACAAGGCCAGGTCACATGCAGAGTTATATATAGGAGAACAAACAATACAGTGAACACAACCTAGCAAGTGTAAGCATGCAGGTATATTTGTATAGAGTACAGTACAAGCAAAGTCAAGAAGTAAGCAAGTGAGGCACAGTAGGCACAAGGCCTAGAACAGTACAGAAACGCTGATGGTCACAAGGCTGAAGTGCCTTGGTGAAAACATCAGCAGTGTTGGCCTGAGAGGCCACGTAAGCAAGACGAAGCTGACCACGCTGCTGCAACTCTCGAGCCAGGAAGTAGCGCAGAGCAATGTGCTTCGTTATGTGCTCCAGTCTGTGCTCCTGACACAAGGCAAGCATGGCCTTGTTGTCGACGTACAGAACTGGAGGAGAACGAGGCGCCTCTCCCAAGTCGGTCAGCAGGTAGGTGAGCCAGCGTAACTCCTGTGCAGCCATGGCCCCTGCGTAGATCTCAGCCTCACAACTGGAGCTGAGAACAGAAGAAGAGCGGGTAGACCGCCAAGAGACATAACCGGAACCAAGACTGAAGGTGTAACCCTGTGACGACCGCTGCGTAGCCAAGTCGTCAACCCAGGAAGCGTCTGCGTGACCAGTAAGGACAACTCGAGCCCGTCCTTCAAGCACGAGCCCCATGCCCGACGTACTGCACAGGTAGCGCAACACCCTCTTCGCAGCATCCCAGTGCACCATTCGGTGTCGACCGAGAGCCACGTAGCGAGCCAGAAGGCTGAGAGGGTATGCGAGGTCAGGTCGTGTGCAAGTCATCAGGTACATGAGGCAGTCCACAAGCTCTCGACACGGGCCACTCGGCTCTACGGACTCGTCCGAAGGTGGAGCTGAGAGCGAGTGACCAGTAGGCAGAGGAGTGGACTGTGGCAAGGAGTACGTGAAGCCGAAGCGCTGAAGGACCTGCTGCACCATGTGTGACTGAGTCAAGGTAATGGTGCGCTGTGCTCTGTCCCGGGTGATCCGCAAGCCAAGATAGCTTGTCAGTTCACCCAGGTCTGTGAACGTGTGTCTCTTCTGCAGCTCGGACTTCACATGAGCGAGTGCCTCAGTTTCAGCAGTAGCAAAGACGAGGTCGTCTACGTACACGAGAACGTAGAACGGCGGCAGAGTGGTGTCAGTACGTAAAAACAGCGACGGGTCAGAAGTGGAAGGAGCAAAACCGAGAGTAGCAAGAGTCGTCCTCAGTGTGTCGTGCCACTCACGGGGTGCCTGGCGGAGACCATAGACTGGCCGCCGGAGGCTCCACTGGGTACCAGCAGGAAACGACCCAGTGAAGCCAGGTGGGCGGCGCAGCCAGATCTCATCGTGCAGGCTGCCCTGTAGGAAGGCTGTGCTTAAGTCAAGCGAGTGAAGCTCGTAGTCACGCTGAGCGGCGACGTGCAGTAGTACCCGAAGAGTGGTCATCTTCGGGGTAGGGGAGAAGGTCTGGAAGAAGTCAACTCCCTGTCGCTGACTGAAGCCACGTGCAACGTAACGCGCCTTGAAGACAGGCGGAGAACCCGGCGGCCGCTTCACCCTGAAGATCCACATGCCACTGACGATGTTCGCCCCAGGCGGGGGAACCTCCTCGACGTAGGTGCCTGTGGACTTCCAGGAAGCCATCTCAGCGTCCATGGCTGCCTGCCACTGAGAGAAGTAGGGACCCTCTATTGCCTCTGCGTAAGAGCGCGGGGTCGGGATGTCTGGTGCATCCGGGTCTCCCTCAGGGGCAAGCAGCATGGCCACGAGATGAGGTACAGCAGCGGCAAAGCACTCAAACTCCTCCTGTCTGTCCTCAAGAACGTCCGTGCCAAGAGCACACTCACCCCCGACGGACGGAGGACAGACAGACTCAAACGCAGACTCAGCAACAAGACTAGTGGCGTAGTCGAGGCAACAGGCGGCAGCAAAGTCAACAAGCTCAGCAACGAGAGCAGACGCAGCAGTGGACTCAAACGAAGGGTCAGTGACAGCAGTGGCCAGAAAACACGTGACAGTAGAACTAGCAGCACGAAGGGAGTCAGACTCCGGGTTCGGACCGTCAGGAAGAGAGGATTCAGGAGGAGACGGCAGAGGGACACGCTGTGGAGCAGTGGAAGGACGCAGAGTCATAGAGTGAGTGCCAGGGACAGGAGGAGGACGCGGACGCGAAACACGACGACCAGCGCGAGCAGTGTGGACAGGCGACACAGAACGAGACACAGGTGACACAGGACGCGACGCAGGCTCACAATGCTCCGTAAGACCTCTAGTCGGTCCAGAGTAAGGAGAAGGACCAGGCAGTGGAGAGGCCGGCTGTAATTGCGACTGTGACTGGACAGGCGGAGGACTCAGTAAGGGAGGAGGAGGACCAAGAGAAGGTGGGAGACCAAGAACCTGCTGAAGGAGCGGAACGAAGTACGGCCGCGGCCGCACAGCGCCTCCAGAAATAGCAGAGACAGCACCAATACCCGCAGCTCCAGGGTCTCCATTAACAACTCCCGCAGCACCACCAGCAGCAGTACCTGCAGCTCCAACGCCTGTAGTACCACCAGCCCCAGCAGCTCCAGTACCTCCAGTACGAGCACCTCCAAGACTAGCGGCTCGAGCAGCTCCAGCACCAGCAGCACCTCCAGCAGCTCCAGCACCAGTAGCACTTACAGCAGCACCAGCACCAGCAGCACCTCCAGCAGCTCCAGTACCAGCAGCACCTCTAGCAGCTCCAGCACCAACACCACCTCCAGCAGCTCCAGCACCAGCAGCACCTCCAGCAGCTCCAGCACCAGCAGCACCTCCAACAGCTCCAGCACCAGCAGCACCTCCAGCAGCTCCAGCACCAGCACCACCTCCAGCAGCTCCAGCA